TGCAATATGCGTTTTTGCTGCCTGTTGCAGCGCTCTAGCGCTGCACGACAAAAACGCATAAAAACGCATCTTCGTATGGGCAGCCCGTGTGTTGGCCAATTATTCCAACTGACGAAGAGGAGATAGAAAAAGTCGATTTTTACCGAGACGCACTAGCACGTGATTAAAGACGAAAGTGTGGTTCGCTGTGCTACAGCTGCATCGAAATGCAATTAGCTTTCTTGACTGTTGTTCATAAAGAAGCCCTGACTGACGGTTAGTAATGGTTTTACTGGACAGCTTATAAGTACAGGAGGACAGCCGCAAGCGACACTTATTCAAGTCCCTTTGGCCGCCCTTCCTGTGTAACACAACTATTTTCGACTCGCTCCAGCTGTTGGGCACGCTTTCAGCCAGATATTGGCTGAATCAGGAGATAATGGCTTCGAAATTTTTGCGCCCTCCGTATCTAAATATATTCAGTACTAAAGCCGTCACTGCAGAAGCTTTTTCACTTCTCAAACTGGGAAGGTTGTGTATGCTAAATCGTTGAGGAATGAGGGAGAGATTTGCTGCCCAGTATCGCGGATTACGAAAAATAGGAAGAATTCACAAGGCACGGGAAAAATTAAAGCGAACCAATGCGACACACAACACATAAAATGTCAATTTCTGCACCTTACTTCCAGAATTCTTCACGGCGAAATCTTCTACGGAAATGCACTGAAACGCTGCGTCCCTCAGTCCTGGATTTCCCGTTCCAATACGATCTGCGGTCTCTTTTGCTGAGCAGACCACAACATCGGACGGATCAAGTGCCGTTACGTTTGCTCCTAACCGCGCTAAAGGAAACGTAAGTATTCCACCACCACAGCCGACATCAACAATGCGCAAACCAGAGAGAGGCTCCTGGAATTTTGGCTTAAAGAATTTTGCTGCGCTGTAGACTCAGGAAGCTTCTGCCGTAAATTGCGAGTAAAATGAGGAACAAACCTGCGTGAACTCATCCTTACGACCAATCATGTCGACGATCAAAGGCACTCGCAATCGATTCATTGAATATAAAGCTTTGAACGAGCCGACCTCCTTCGCCCAGTCAGGAGACAGCTTCGCGAAATGCTTTATATCGCATTCATCAACGGAACCTTGCCGAGGCCGCGTGTTCCTTGACTGAAGATGAAGGCATCGATGCATCCAGCAGCGGCCTTTTTGAAACGTAACAATGCTTCTCGGGAGCTCAGCAAGCATCTGAAAAGCTGCAATAAGATCGTATTTTTTTATCCTCAACCCTGAGCTGCTGTAAAACATTCGACAAAATCCAAGAATTATGCAGACAAGGTGCTGGATACAAACCAGTTTCCGTGATAACATACGCAAAGTTACAGCATTTTTTATTGGACAAAATGCACAACTATTATATATAAAGGGCAAAAAAGACTAAATGAGCACGGCCTGGCTATTATCATCTGGACTAAGTCTTGCTATGAAGGAAAGTCGACAAGAAGTCCTTCGGTTTCGCCTCAACGTTTTCACGAAATAGAACATTGCGCAAATGATACTCGTTATACCACGCCTTCTGACAAGCCAACATCACCTGCAGTGATTTCAACAATTTAGCCCAAATATTTCAGAATGAATGAACTGGCTGCAGAAAAGTAAACGGATGAAGCCCTTGGCCTATGTAAGACTGGCCTCTTTTCCCTTCTTCAGGCTCGTAGCCGTGAAACTTCAGTTAACGCTGACTGAAAAGAGCTCGCAATGGTGCGGCAATATTAAAATGTGGGAAACTGGATATACCACAAAATAAACGCTTGGGCGCTTCAACCCACAAACACTGGCATTTTCTGAGTGCTAAGAAGCAAATTCGTGTAGTCGTCAGGCGTCACTGGAAAATGGATGCTTGCTTTGAGTTAAAAAATTTAGAAACAAAGTCAAAATTAGCAGCTCAGCTGGGAATGAAAAAGTTTAGCCCCCTCAGCGGTGCTAGTAAAACATGTTGAAATGCAGTCAGAAAACCACTCTATTCCATAGTGTTAAGGAAAAACGGACCTGACGGCATTCGGCAATTTTTCGATCAATTATACGGAGGTCGCTCAGATGTGAGTTGATAGTGAACTGCTTTTTGAGCGCCGCTCGAAAGACCGATAGGGGCATATCTTCATAATAAAAATTGTTGTAGACTTCAGGAGCATAGCGCTGTCTAAAAGCAGGTACAACTGAACGTCACTGTACAGTACCGCTACTGGGAACAGTCACACTGCACAGCCTAAATCCTTAGAATTCCATGTTTCACACAATAAAATAAGCCACATACTCATAAATATCAAACAAAGAATCGCAGCACTCGTAGACATCACGTATAACTACATCGTGCAGAATAAACTCGCTTCTGGAGACGTGAGGAACATCCAAAGACATCATTTGTCACTAAAAATGTAGCTTCCACCTCGCCGGAAAAATTCTGTCACTGGATTCGCGTGAGCATTCGCACTCTACGTCTACCTCATATGCGAGATTAATGATAACCCAGGTAGTGACGCACTAAGCCTGCCGGTGCGATGCGTTTTCGTGCTAAACCTAAAGCAGTAGATCGTTAGCAGTACGAATGGTTGCTATGTTTGGCCTCTTTTGGTCTTTTATGTGTTTGGACTTTTTTTTGCGAAGGAAAAGGATGTTGGCTGGGACCGCATGAAATCCCACCGCCCAGCATGCACGTTTACCGTAAATTTTACATGAGGAAATATTAAAAATTACTGTCGACGCGTAACAGGCGAGCCGATGCAATCAAGCGTTATTTCATGCTATAGTATGATCGCTCAGAATCCCAGTAGCTAGAATTTATGACGTACTAGTCCTCGAAATTCAAAAAGTTAATTGCGCAGCTACGTGGTATGTGTCAGTTGTCGATGTCGACCTCACGAGCAGCATCAATCATTTCTTGCAAACACTGCATTTTGCTGCAGTGGAAGCGAATATCGCCAGTATTATGTTATAATGCAAATTTGCATAATCATGGGGAGCGTGACCTGTATGCATAGTATGATGTGAAGTGCAGCAGCCTGAAAAGAAATTTGCTCTGATAGCTGAACTGATACCTGAAATCAGTTCAGTGTACCTGCGAGGAAATGGCATGAATGGGGACTAATTTTACATACTTCAGGTTACAATGGAACAAATAACCACCATAGCTCAGCAAATGTTCAGCAGAAAAAGTCTGCCACGGCAAAGTAACAGCTGATGTATCCATGCACGAGACATGAGCCACAAGCACCAGTTTTACGCATAGGAGTTTACATATAAACACTGGATATCTTCATAGAAGTAAAGCTGTCCACGCAATTCAAATCACAAATTAAATGGTACCAACAGTGCTCCAGTGGCAACCACTAGAACTCGGCTCGTCTCGGTCGCCACTGAGCGATGCTCTCCTTCCTCTGCTAATGCAATTTTGAGGCAGTACTTGCCGGTACTGCTTGGCATGATGCCACCGAATACTGGGTAGCGTTCCTCGAGCGCAGATGCCGAGGTACGCTACCCAGCGCTCGGATGACGTGGTTGGGGGAGTTGGATGATGGATGTCCAGGTCGATGGCGGACGCCCTTTCACATACCCGCAAGTGAATACCACGTGTGCCCGAATGCCAAGATTGAAGCCTTTATGGACGGAGAACTCCCCATTAAAATTTCAACCTTCTAACTTTTCTCGTTCCCGAATTGGCGATTTTCTCGTCAAAATTTTCACGTGCCTGTACGTAAGGCGCAGATGTGCGTGATAATTGATATCACGTTCCTGGGGCCGCAGTTGGCCAAGGAACACACTGGCAAAATTCTAGCATTAAATCTTACGCAGCTGCTTAAGTAAAAACACTCGGA